ATTAATAACAAGACTCTTCCCAAAGTAGAAAGACTATGCGCGCTGTCATCTGAATTATATTCACCTTAAAATCAGCTTCAGTTGATACAAAACAAAAGTTTTACGACTTTTGTGTCACCTGATTATCTTTCAAAGTTATCGCTCTTTATCACAATATTTGAAAAATCGATCATAAATTGTGGTTATATGACAACGCTATGGAGAGTTCTCATTCTGAAGCAAAAAAATTTAGTGTTTTTCCACAAATTAAAAACTTATCTTCATTCTCTTCCTGTTTAAACGTATATAACAATTAGTTAATGTGTCGAAATACTTTGTAAGAGGCGAGACAACTGCATAAAGCCGATAAGCGCTCATTTCATTTCTGACAAAATTCAACAAACTGTTGGAGAAAGAGAGAATCCATTTATCCATGACATTATCAGATTTTTCTTCCAATAAGACAAACTTTTTGCCGTTTGTCTGAAATCCAATTTACAATCCGATTTAAACCTTTTAGTATGTAAAAGTCACACTTAAAATTTTTCAAGTTCCGTATGCAGCCTTTCATTATCGACAGGACTGTCAGTCTGCAATATCATACGGAAAATGTAAAAAAGCAATACAAAAAAGAAATTAAGACATCGTACTTTAAAAACGGAATCTCTTATAGTCATAACATCAAATGAATGTAAAACTAACTAATTCGTATAGCTTAACATTCTGGACAAAAAATCTGTAAGCGTTGTACCATGGTAATAAAACATCTTTCAATACATCTCTAACACCTTCTTCACGGAAACGCAAGTTTTCTCCACGAACAACAGGTGAATTAATAAGATAAACTCTCAAAGCGTCGGCACCATATTTCTCGACAACCTGTAAACAATTCTGATCAAACATTGATATTAATGAAACATGCTGGCAATGTGAGAACTATTTGTAGCGTATTTCTGATTCTTGAATTTATTAAAACACACATCTAAAGGGTCAGGATAATTTTTCTTTCGTTTTGACATTTTCGAACCATCACTGGCAAGAACTAAACCATTGCAGATAAGATTTTTATAAGGTGGCCGATCGAATAATGCGGTTGAAATAACCATAAGTGTATAAAACCAACCACGTGTCTGGTCAATACCTGAAATTTCGTGAACATATCGTGTGCCTGTTTAAAATGAGTATTGCTCTGCTAGTTTTATAATATGACTTATTAGCCAAAATAACTCAAAATGAAAATTAAAAAAATAAATAAACAGATAAGGATAAATCCAAAGCTGATGAAAATGACGGAAAGAAAGGGAAATCTGGAGACTTGAATAACCCAATTTTTATGAAATACAGCATCCTGAAGACAGACTACTGTTTTTTGGTAGATGAAAACAAAGCGTCCACTCCTCTTTGCTAACAGAAACTTATGAACTACACAGAACTTGTAAAATATAAAAAACTTAAGCATAATGAATGAAAACCTTCAGCAATGAAGTCAGCCGGAAAATTTTCTTCAAATTTCTTTTTGTTTTCAAATGGATAATGCTGCTGGGCATAAGGCATTGAGCCTGACTCAAACCAGCAATCAAAAACCTCGGTAACGCGGTGCAACGTACCACGACCAGTAACTGATGGTATAGTAATATGGTCGATACTATAAACAGATTAATTAAAAAAATCCATACCAGACATTCCACCTAAATGACATTATAATCTTTTTAAACACTAACTTTTCTCTGTGCAAATCTGTCACTTTCTGTCCGGATAATTTTTCTAATTCAGCAATCGAAGCTGGTGCAACGATTTCTTCCAGATCATCGCTAACCCATAAATTTATTGGCGTACCCCAGAACCGATTTCTAGAAACTGCCCAATCACGAGCATCTTTCAGCCAATTACCAAATCGCTTGTCTTTCACAAATGATGGTACCCTGAAAGAACCAGTCTCACTTACACAAATGTTTTTACTTTATCCAGAATTTGCTGGAATAGGCATTATTAAACTTTAATTTAAAAAGCTTCCAATAAAACTAACCAAAGAGTTTTTTCATTATTAACTAGAAGTTTTGGTACGATCTCCTCTACACGAATGAACCAGGATGGTACTGCCATGTAAAGTAACGGTGTATCTGATCGCCAACAATAAGGATAACTGTGTTTCACTTCACTAGACTTTATGAGGTTTCCTTGGGACTGAAACATTGGAAGATGAAATTTAGATTAGTATCGCTTATATACGTTTACACAAATATTTCATAAAGAACGAAAAATATAGGATTTAGTGCAACTGGAAAGAAAGCAATTAAAGCCTACATAACTATTGAATTTTCTTGGACATAATAACCTTTAAATAGAGGCAAATATTCTTATCAGCATCTTTTACATACTGTCCAGAGAAATCAGGTACATCACTTGTAAAACAACCGCATTCATCGACTGGACACACCAACTTCATGTCACGAGTTATAATACCATTTTTTAAACACGTTTCAAAATCCGCCTAAATAATCAAAAAAATTATTTCCATAGTACAAAACCAAAAATTTCTATCTTTTTACTTATTTTTGAATGTTACAAACTCATAATGCTTCAAAGTCTATTAGAAGTATCCCAAACTGTAAAAAAAAGTTCTTTAAATAGCCTACCTCACCAAAGTAAGGAGCTTGATGCACTACACCAGTACCCTGATCACTAGTAATATATGTAGCGAGAAGAACTCGAAATGCACCAATTTTGGATTTCAATTCTGCGAAATATGGAAAAAGAGGCTGATACGTTTTGCCTTCCAATACCTTTCCTTCAAATCGATCCAGAACCTCATAGTCGTCTTCTTTTTTGTAAAGTTCACATATTCTCTACAAATATTGAAACTGCAAAATTGCTGAATCAGACTTAAAGCTAAGCGAGATTTGAAGCCTAAACCCAAAAATTTGTTTCTGTAAATAAATGATACAGCTTTTATACAGCACTAATACAAACTGTGATTCTACAAAAACTCGGTAACTTGTCAGTGCGAAGCACAGCGAATACAAATAAATTCATCAAAGTGCTCTTGGTAACAAAAATGCAAACATGTTATTGTCGTACTTTTTTTACAAAAACTACCGATCAAAAACAAACTTCTTCCATTAAGATGTACTTTTTTTTCTTTTTTTTGTCTTCAACCGTAACATAAACCATGTCTGGATGAACGGCTAAACTTAAATTACTGACTAAAGTCCATGGTGTAGTAGTCCAGGCAACCAGCTGTACTGATGAATCATCATCTAATGAGAAACCAACTACCACTAAAAATGAGTAGCTTTATATAAAATGAGACGAAAACACGTCCCTTCTGGTGAAATACTTTTTTTTTTAAAACTGCAAACCTTAAAAATCATACTGAACTAAGCGTGAGACTTGTTGGGATTTTTAAATAAAGTTTCCTGCAATTTTTAAGTAATAGGCTTCAAAAAATATATTCGATGACACTCTTTTTAATTCTCTTTAGAGGTTTTGTTAAAACAATTTTAAATACTACCAATAGTTAGGATGCCAAAACAGTAATAAAATAAACTTCAAAATAAACACCTGCGGGATCGATAACATCTTTATAATTCTGACCAGCTTCAAAATTCGAAAGTGGTGTAGAACATGCCGTTGAGAATGGCATTACCTGAATTTCAAAAAACTGTTTAAATTTAAAGATATCTTGGGAGGTATTTGCAATTTCCTCCCCCATTTGTAGTAATAGTTAGTAAACATAAGCA